TGTGAGCCCGCGGCGCAGCCCCGCGGCGCCCGGCGCAGCCGCGCATGCAGCGGGGGACAGCGGTGCAGCACGGGGCGGCCTCGGCGTGAAGGGCATCCTCGCTGCATGGTGCATCCTCGCTGCATGGTGCATCCTCGGCGCACGGTGCATCCTCGCTGCATGGTGCATCCTCGGCGCACGGTGCATCCTCGGCGCACGGTGCATAACTGCAGCGCAGCGCATCCTCGCCGCATGGTGCATCTCGGCACACAGTGCATCCTCGCTGCATGGTGCATCCTCGCTGCATGGTGCATCCTCGCTGCATGGTGCATAACTGCAGCGCAGCGCACCCTCGCTGCACGGTGCATCCTTGGCACGCAGTGCATCCTTGCTGCACGGTGCATCCCGCCGCATGGTGCATCATCACGGCATGGTGCATCCTCCCTGCACGGTGCACCCTCGGCGCACGGTGCATAACTGCAGCGCAGTGCAGCCTCGCCGCATGGTGCATCCTCGGCACCCGGTGCATCCTCGGCACCCAGTGCATCCTCGGCACCCGGTGCATCCTCGCTGCACGGTGCATCCTCATGCACGCTGCAGCCCCGCGGCACAGGACAGCGCTGCAGCCTCCCCCCGCACGGACCTGCTTTGCAGCACGGAGCGTCCTTGGAGCCGGGAGCAACGCGGAGCAGCCCCGCAGCCGAGCGCAGCGCCGCAGCCCCACGGCGCAGGACGGGGTGCAGCGGGGAGCACCCTCGGGGAACGGAGCCTCCCGCATCCCCACACAGCCCAGAGCAGCTTCGGGGCCGGAGGATCCCGGCAGGACGGCGCCTCTGGCCCCAAATCCCCCTCTTTTCACCCCATTTGCACCACTGCCCACCCCCCATAGCAGCCCATGGGGGGGCAGGTTCTTCCCTCCGTCCCCACCTGACCCGCTCGAACTGAGAACTGGAGCAGAACAAGGGGGAAAAAAAAGGGTGGAAAAAGCTTAAAAAGAAATAAAAAAGGCACAAACGCAAGAGGGGCGGCTGCAAAGGAGGGGCTGCAAATGCAGGGGCTGCAACGGCGCTAAGGGGGCTGCAAACAAGGCCGGGGGGGGAGGCTCAAGTGCAACCAGGGCAGGTGCAACTGCCCACGTTGCACAAATGTGTGCAATTGCACAAATCTGCGCGAATTGCACAAATCTGCGCGAATTGCACAAATCTGCACGAATTGCACAAATCTGCGCGAATTGCACAAATCTGCGCAATCGCACCAGTTTGCAACAGCTGCAAAAAGGGGCCCCGGCGTCCGGCGCCGGCCCCGCTGCCCCTTCCCCTCCGGCCCGCTGCTTTTCCTGATCTAATTTAGCAAATGCGGCGGCTTAGCCCCCGCTGCAGCTGGGCGCCGCATTAGGGGGATTAGGGCCCCGGCGCGATGACAAATTGGGTGCTGATGGTGGGTGACAGCGGTGCCCGCCCGGGGGGGGGGATTGGCACGTGCCCCTTGGCACCAGGGGCTTTGCACATCGCGGGGTGCACCGGGGACC